GTAGGAGTCGGAATAAGTAAATTTCTTGTACTGGCAATGCTGGTAGCTTCTGCTTCTACGTGAACTGCTTTTAATTTCTTATTTGGGGTATCTTTCTGTCCCATGATTCTTTTTGCTATTTCGGTTTTCTGTTCAATTGAATTTTCAATGTAACCTTCAGCAACCGAGCTTGATCGCCAACCTCCATGTCGCTTTAAAACTGTTATGTCCGCTCCTGAATCTTTCAGCATTATTGCAGAGATACGCAGAGCTAAATTCCGCTATCTTTTTTGGCATACCCCCAATTGTATTGATTCCAACTGGCAGGGTACAGCATTGATTTTTTCGATACGTCAAGAAAAATCGCTGATGTGTCACACTGAGTGGTCGAAGTTTTGCGTTCTTACGAAATACTTGTAATAAATTGATACCATCTATTGGTCCTAGCCTAACCTAATCTAACACTTCATAAGAATACGATCGAAAATCGCATTGTTGGGAGCTGCGATGGCAACTCGCAGTGGCAAATCGCAACTAAAGTACCTAATATTGGTTGCCTAAAAATCGGCAGATACATGTTACGACCAACACTTACCAACACACTTTGTATAAAAACAAACAAGTAGTTAAATAAATTAGCTTTCTGAGCCCCGCTTCTAAAAGTGTGTAATAAACCAAAAACAATCAAATTAAGGGCAGCCAGAACATCGAGCGGTTCGAGCGAGCGCAGTGAAATCTAAAAGAATTGTTACGGTATTTCTACTACTAGGCGGATTTTGGTCGTAAACTTCCACAAATGAATGAACTGATTAGTTGCGTGTCTCGAAAGAATTAGACGATAGTGTTCGAACAGAGATATGCTGACTGTAGTCAAATAGCATTGCTTGTTTCTGTTCTTGAGTTGACATAATGCATTGTGAAATTTTTATTTTTGATTCCGTTGTTAGATGTTTTACAGATGGAGAAGGAAGCAATTAAATCAAAACATAAGAAGAATTCCATTATTGGCAAGAAACAAAATTATGGCCAACTGGTTTATGTATCAATTTCTGTACCCCCAGAAGTTAACTGTATTAAGTCACAGAACATAGTTTTAAGAAAAACGAATTTAAAGTTCTTTTTTGAAGTTATTTTCTCATATGAAGTAAGTTTGTATGATTTTAACATTTGGTATATAAACAACTTGTTTTGAACTTGAATGAAATGTAAAACAGTTTTTTAAATAAAATATAGCAAAACTTTTTTGAGTGACTTAACTAATTTGTATATTCATATCAAATGGATCCGTATTACATCCCATGAACTAATAAGCGACTAACAGAGAGAGCTTCTAAGTATAATTAAAAGAAGGAAATCAAGGTAATGACTACTAGCACTGACTATAACTTATTATCAAAGAAAATTGAAGGAAACCTCGGTCCAAGAATGAAAACCATAAGAGAATGGACAGTAATGATTGTCAAACACTAGTTAGGACAGCAGAAAAGCAAAAATAATTTGCTGTAGGTAGTTATCGCTAACCTTCGTTATGAAGAGGTACCAAGAAGATGGGAAATTACAACTGGATTTTATTTTTACTCTCAAGGATAATATCCTGAAAATATAGGAATATATTATATTCCTACAAACTCTACATATTCCGCTGTTCCAGGCTTCGTCAGGTATCAAAGCTGAACTAAATTTATTTTACAATGTTTTTATAGATCTCAATGTTATTAAAAAAAAGCAATTTGAGGATTTAAAAATTAATGATATAATTAATATTTAAAACTGTTTATCTGTCATCATACATGCTATACATAATAATAAAACTTCTAGGTTAGTATACATTTGAAGCACATTTAAAGTAATTTATATTAAGATTGTAGTAGTTGCAAGTTTGGACTTGAGACACAAGTTACAAGTTAGTTACACAAGGGAGACCATCTACTGCAATCACCAACGTACTTCAGTAATTAAACTATGTTAATTAAGTAGTTCTCCAGGTCAGGTAAACCATGTTCGAAGGACAGAGAATTAAATACAAATTTATAACAACCTATATAATTCTAGGGTGTAGAGGTTCGATAAGAAGGAATTTTTCGAAATTCCAGTTCCAACAGGGTGAAACCACCCCTCAAATATTACAATATTTTTTATTTAAAAAACGGTCAAGTTTCAAGTATATTTTATTTTGTTTTTGGTTTAACGGCAGTTTAGGTTTTTTTACATATTTTAAGATTTTTTAAAAATGTATACAGGGTGTTTCGAAAAATCTGGTTATTGATTAACCACGATCCTGCTTAAAGCGCTTGACGTAAAAAGCTGATTTTTGGAAAACAGATTGATTTTAGGGTGTAGAGAAGGGATTTTCGGGGGGTTCGATAAGAAGGGATTTTTCGAAACTCGAATTCTAAGGGGGTGAAACTATCCCTCAAATATTAAAATATTCTTGATTTAAAAACCGGTTGAGTTTTTCGGAAAAACTCGTAAACACGTATATTTTATTGTGTTGTTTTACATATTTTAAGATTTTTTATAAATTTATACAGGGTGTTTCATAAAATATGACCATTGAGTAATCACGATTCTGCTTAAATTTTGAAAGCTGATTTTTGGTATACGGATTGACTGTGGGGTCTAGAGGTTCGATAAGGAGGGGTTTTTCGAAACACAACTTCCAAGAGGGTGAAAACGCCCCTCAAATATTACATTATTTGTTATTTAAAAAACGGTTAGTCTTTCGGGAAAATGCTTGGACAAGCATAATTAATTTGGTTTATTTACAGATTTTGAAATTTTTTAAAAAATTATACAGGGTGTTCCAAAAAGTTGGGTAATTTCTTAACCACTATTCTGCTTAAACTGCTTAACGTAAAAAGCTTATTTTTGGCAAACGGATTTTTCGAGTCAAGTCAAATTCCAACAAGATGAAACTACCCCTCAAATATTACCAAGGTATATAATAATATCGCGATATTGTTTTTTCTCATGTTGACATAAATGTGAGAAAATTTTATCCAGTTTATATGTTAATGGAAATTCTTGCTTTGCTTTATCATCACCATTACAAATGATTAATTCGACGCGAACGAAGTCGCTGGTACACGCTAGTATCTTTTATATATACAGGGTTGTTCACCACATACGACACGGAGTATTGTAGCTAAACGATGAGATTTTTACAAATTGTAAGTTTGGGGTTCGTTGAAGGACTATTAGAGCTACAATTTAAAAATATTTTTACAAGATACAGAGTGTCCCAAATAAATAAAAAATATCAAAGTTGTATTTTTTTAATCGGAACACCCTGTATATTATTACATTGTTAGTTTCTACGATTGAAATAAAGATAAATTTGATTAAGGTTTATTATACTTAAACCTTACCGTTTTTGAAATATTTTCAATTTTGTGAAATTGCAGTAAAAATTTTAAAGCTTCATTTCTCCAAGGGTATCAATGTTTTTAATACTAAATATTTAATGAAGTTTATTTATTGATCAGTTATGGTGTTGCAATAATAAAAATAATACTACCTTATACAGAGTGTGTAGCTTCAAACGGCATAACTTCTTTAATTTGAATAGAATGCCCTGTATATTTTAGGAGAATCAGATGCACAATTAAATTGTCTATCAAATTGTATTATACCATTTTTTACCTATCCCTTCAAGTTTTCGTAGAAAATGCATTTTCTTATAATTTAGACCTCATTTATCAATATATCCATGGAATATTGACATTTTAGAGTGTTTTTGAAGCAACAAATGTACAAAATGTACAGACTAGTAATATTATCGTTTTTAGCAAAACGAATATATTACTAGCCCATTTGTATGCAAAAAGAAAACTATTTAAATCTTTATAAAAGAGTATACCATTAATTAAATATAACACCATTATTTCCCCCATATACTAATTAATTACATACTTAATTGTGTTCGTTAATAAATTATTATAAATAAATGTGAATTTGAGTCAGAAATCAATATAATAATAAGTTATCAAATTAAAGTCTCTGTTGTTATAAATAAGCATTTATTAAAAAATGAAATATCATTTTTAAGGTGTTACTTTTTATCACACTGTCTAATGCCCATACAAAATTTAGTTTTTTAGTATTTGGAGCAATTATTATTAATCAACGCAAACAGTCAGTTAATGTAGTTTGAATACTGGAATCATATTAATTGGTCCTCTTTAACAAATATTTAAACAGTTTTTTTTAATTTTTTAATGAAATAATATACGAATTATATCGACAATATTAGTATCTGTACTCTTTAAAAATTTGGTACATCTTTAAAAATAATCTAAAATGTCAATAGTCCATGGGTATATTGATAAATAAGTTCTAAATTACAAGAAAATGCATTTTCTACGGAAACTTAAAGAGATAGGAAAAAATGGTATAATATAATTTGATAGACAATTAAATTGTGCATCTGATTCTCGTAAAATATACAGGGTTACAATCGTTCCATTTAAATTAAACAAGTTATTGCCGTTTGAAGCTAATAATTATTTAAAATAAATTTTTAGACACTCTGTATAAGGTAGTATTATTTTTATTATTGCAACACAATAACTGATCAGTAAATAAACTTCAGTAAATATTTAGTATTAAAAACTTTGATACCCTTGGAGAAATGAAGCCTTAAAATTTTTACTGCAATTTCACAAAATTGAAAATATTTCAAAAACGGTAAGGTTTAAGTATAATAAAACTTAATCAAATTTACCTTTATTTTAATCGTAGAAACTAAAAATGTAATAATATACAGGGTGTTCCATTTAAATAAATACAACTTTGATATTTTTTACTTATTTGGGACACTCTGTATCTTGTAAAATTATTTTTAAATTGTACCTCTAATAGTCCTTCATCGAACCCAAAACTTACAATTTGTAAAAATATCATCGTTTAGCTACAATACTCCGTGTCGTATGTGGTGAACCACCCTGTATATTCTACATATTATAACAATAATCTAAATACATCAGTTAAATTTAATTTACTATAATATGTAATCTTCTTACCTTAATAGTCGTTCCATGTTTAAAATCATCTTGCAGTATTTCGTTCTCCTTGTACCAGAAAATGCTGCCTAGGTCGTGTGGTCCCTTATTGACGCTGCACGTCAAAGTCACCGAACTGCCCACTTTCACGTGCAAGTCGGTCGATCCCAGGATCTTAGCCTTGGATTCTGAAAAACAAGGTAGCAAAAGTCAATATCTTACAAACACTGATTTTCTGCTATTCCAAATATAAAAGAACAATAATTATTAGGAAAAATGTTTTAAAAATATTTGTTTCTCTACATTTATATTTAAATGTTTTGTGAATATTCATAGCTTTGTTTCAATTTCTAAATAATTTCTGAAGTAACGTCAATATCTGGATGAAAATTGGTGTCTGGGAGTTTTGTGATACGATAAATTTGATTTTGATGTCAAAATGACTCCTATTTGTAGGGGGCGCCAGCTACATGCGTTTTGACTGTTTTGAAGAGTAATAACTTTTCGATGGTACCTGTATAAAACTACTGACTAAAAAAATATACATTTCCATGACTTTTTACGTAAATAATGTCTCTTGGTAAAAATCTCTACGAGAAACCGTTCTCAAGATATTTAAAATAGAAATAGTCAATACATGTCATTATTGACAAAAAATAAGCACACGTTGAATAGAGTTATTTGACTGAAATAATAAATTTTTATTTTTTTAAATTAATCATAAATTTTTCTGCGAAAAAATGCTGATTACACAGTTTCTGTTGAACTTTTGGCACAAAAAGATTTCAAATTTAAGATTTCAGTCTAATAACTATTTGGTCAACATGTTTAATTTGTCAATGATGACAGGTATTGATAATTTCAATTTCAAATATCTCGAGAACCATTACTCGTAGCGATTTTTACCAAGAGACCTTTTTTATGTAAAAAAAGTTGTAAATGATTTTTTTTTCTCAGTAGTTTTATACAGATATGGATGAAAAGTTATTACTCTTCAAACCAGTTAAAGCATATGTAGGTGGCGCCCTCTACAAGTAGGAGTCATATTGACATGAAAATCAAATTTCTCGTGTCCAAAAACTCCCAGACACAAATTTTCATTCAAATATTGACGTTACTTCTTAAATTATTTGGAAAAAATCGCGAAATAAAAATGAAATTTCTACACCCTGTATCTCTGAAACTAAGCATTTTAGGACATACATTTATACGAACTTTTTTACTTATTTTAATCTGCAGAATATGCTGCCGAAGTTTCCGGAATACAATTCGGACCACCCTGTATATCAAGGTATTATAGTAATTTACTTTTAGCACCAGTGCTAAAAGTAAATGACTTTTACCATCAGTGACATAATGTCACATTTTAGGCACTGACAGCATGCGTTAAAAATTACATTTTTACTGACGTTCGTAGAAAAATATATTTTTTATTTATTTATTAATATCTCTGAAATTATCAACATATATTTACTCATAACTTAGGATTATGTAAAGTCATCTGAAAGGAAGCCCAAAATGCAATAATATACAGGGTGTTCCAATTAAAAAAAAATCATCTCGATTCACTCACAGTTTTTTGAGCTAACCTATAGAAGTTAAATATTTTCCTGAAATACATCCTCGTATATACTTTAGGTTTCCACTTACGACAAAATTCTCAAGTTTTTTATTCTAAAAATATCCAAAAAACCAAAATAACCGAGTTATTTTACTCTAAAAATTTAAAAAAAAAATATTTTTTTTGGTTAAATTTCGAGAACAACTTGATCTTTTCTAAGTTTTATTGGTTGATCGTGGTTAACTATGTTGCCATATTTTCAAGACATTATGCTTTGTACTAAAACTAAAAAAAAATCCATTTTTATTTAAATTCTAAATTAAATTTTTTTTTCGTTAATAAACCTTGCACTTATTTGAGACTCATCCTGTACAAATTATAACGTGTAAACAGCGTTGAGGTTAACAAGTCAAGTCAGATAACCGTTAGTTACAGCGTCTCTCACAGACATTAGCCGCAAGTTGGAATTTCAGATAATATTAATCCCTTGCTTATGATTGGCTAAATATAACTTAGTTCGGTCAAGGCAGCCACCACAGATTTATAATCGATAATGCTTCTTGATGGGTAATTGGAAGCAGACACCGTCAAAAGGATTTCCTTGATCTGTAAACACAATATCGATTTGTAACCTAAGCTCGACGTTTTTGGTCAGAAATGTATGAGAAATTGTTGTTCATTGTAGCAGAAGTGATTTCTTGAAGAACACGAAATCGCTATTTTATTTTGGTATTGGTCTGGTATTGTGCTATAAATTACTTTATCTACAACCGTTTAGTTATAACGTTTTTACATTACTATTTTTTTTAGTATTTCAGTTACGTTATGAGATTCATAACACAACTAGTGGTGTTATGAACCTATAACACAACTAGTTTTTATAATAATGACAATTCCATACAATTATAATTAAAAAAATGTGACAAATGTCATAGTTAAAAGTGTTAAAGGTGGGCGACTAATAAACGAAAATTAAAACAGTATTTTCTTACTTTTCGGTTGTAGATAAAACGTTGTAGTTATGAATCTATAACACAACTAGTTTTTATAATAATGACAATTTCCCACAATTATAATTAAAAAAATGTGACAAATGTCATAGTTAAAGGTGTTAAAGGTGGGCGACTAATAAACGAAAATTAAAACAGCATTTTCTTTTTTTTTTCGGTTGTAGATAAAACGTTGTACATGACACGTGCGTTTAAACATGATTACAACACTCGTGTTCACACTCGTTGTTGTAATCATGTTCATAAACACACTTGTACTGTAAATAACTATTATCTACAACTGTTTAGTTATAACGTTTTTACATCACTGTTTTTTAGTATTTCAGTTACGTTATGAGATTCATAACACAACTAGTGGTGTTATGAATCTATAACACAACTAGTTTTTATAATAATGACAATTCCCCACAATTATAATTAAAAAAATGTGACAAATGTCATAGTTAAAAGTGGGCGACTAATCAACGAAAATTAAAACAGCATTTTCTTATTTTTCGGTTGTAGATAAAACGTTGTAAATGACACGTGCGTTTAAACATGATTACAACACTCGTGTGATTAGAACGACTCGGTCTACGACCTCGTCGTTCTAATCGTTCACACACGTTCTTGTAATCATGTTCATAAACACACTTGTACTGTAAATAACTATTATCTACAACCGTTTAGTTATAACGTTTTTACATCACTATTTTTTTTAGTATTTCAGTTACGTTATGACATTTATAACACAGCTAGTGGTGTTATGAATCTATAACACAACTAGTTTTTATAATAATGAAAAACAACTACGAACATCTAAATATATTAATTTTTGATACAAATTCCTACTACTAATTATTATAAATATTAATACCACATTTTTTGCACTTCTTCAAAACACTTCCTGCTGCTGATGATGATGACAATGAGAATAGTGAAGATCTAACTGAAATAGATTGGGCTGTTGTTCGGTTTGGTTCGCACTCGGGCTGGCATGCTTCCTCAGCGATTCTTGATCACAAAATGTGCTGCGCAACAATTTTCTTGTTTTACCCGTTTGTGTGGGGAAAGAGATCATCATATCGAAAGAAATCAGTATATGTATATTGTTTCGTATATTTTTTATTTTATGATTTTATGGAAAGCATTGTTCATTAAAGTGTTGTATTCTATGTTATAGGGCTTGTTTCTCTCTACAATTTCCTGTCTCACAATGTACCGTTTGTGTCGGGGAAGGGATCATAGTTTCGTAGTTGTCGATTTTCGAAAGAAATCGTTACATGTATATCGACGGTTGAAAGGAGAAATGGCTAATACGCCACTTTTGTTGAAATTGAGTTATCGAAATCAGCGAATTTTTCTGCGTCGATCTACTTAGGTTTCATCCTAATAATCCTATGATTTGGCGCATTAAACATTTTAAATTTTGAATAAATTATGAGAAACATAATGCCTTAAGTGACAGAGTTTCAAAATAAAACAGACTAACAGGTCTTATAAAGTCACGAAAGTGGCGTATTAGCAGTTTCTCCTTTCAACCGTCGATATTATTTCGTATATTTTTCATTTTATTGATTTTACGGAAAGCATTGTTCATTAAAATGTTGTATTCTATGATATAGGGCTTGTTTCTCTCTACAATTTTCTGTCTCACAATGTACCGTTTGTGTCGGGGAAGGGATCATAGTTTCATAGTTGTCGATTTTCGAAAGAAATCAGTACATGTATTTTATTTCGTATATTTTTCATTTTATTGATTTTATGGAAAGCACTGTTCATTAAAATGTTGTATCCTATGTTATAGGGCTTGTTTCTCTCAGTGACATTTCTTTACTGATTTTCCTGTTGTCCATAAATTCATTCATTAACGGTTCCCTGGTTACAGAGTTATTCTCACATAGTAAAATTCGTTTAAAATTTTATATTCATATAATTCGTTTTGTTAAACCGATTTCCAGCTTTATACTGAGTTTATTTAAATATTGAGTAATTAATATTTATTGTTTTACATATTCATATAAAAAATAAAAGGATTTATACAATGAAAAAAAAAACACAGTTGAATTTCAAATTGAAATCGGTGCTAAAAGTCTTTATAATTCATTTATCGGCGATTGAGTTTGGTCTCCAATTTAAAATATCCTATATAGTGGCCGGTAACAATATTTGAACGTAACAGAATTTCGGAATAATAAAAAATAAATTTTTAAACCATTGAAAAATATTTATGTCCGAATGCGGAGCACGTTTTTCGTTAAGCCTTTTTGTATAAATATTTCAGTTAAATGTATGTTTTTATGCGTAGAAAGGCTTTTTATTTGCAATTATTTTAACTCGTTTACGTTTTTTTAATTCGGAAATAAATCTAATATCGTTGATTGAAAGAATTGGGAAGATACGCAACCTAATAGGCAAAATCGTGACAAGGCTGATTTGATTGCTCCTTACGTCTCAAGTGCTGTACGGTGGAGACACCAATCGTTCTGCGGCCAACGCATAAAATACTTATTTTCTCTAATTCGGTCGGCGAAGGCATATCGAAGACGGTGTGGAACTGAAAGCGACAGTGTTGCCATATTGAAATGTATAATATCTGTAATACGTTTGACGAAAAAATATTTGGATGAAGAATCCG